GGAGCAACAGGGCCCGCCCGGCAGAGCCCAACTCCTCCCTCACGGGATGTCACTGGCCACTGGATTGACTCGGGCCATGGCGGACCGGTGACAGCCGGACCCCGTGTGCGGGACAAACGCTTCCACGGCCGTTCACGTGTGTCCAATAAACGCAAGTGCTGCCTTTTCCTCTGTTACCCGAGTGCTTCTGACATGTGCCGAGACCCCCTCTCCATGGGACCAGCCTGTTAGACAGTCCCGGCCCCCCCTCCTTGTCTCCTCTCGCCCCCCACACACGCCTGGAACGTGCATCTGTGACGGACACAGCGGGAGGTGTTTGCAAATCAGTCGGTTCCTCTCTAGTTAGGAAACAAACGCGCTTTCCCTCTGACAGAGGGGGAGACCAAACGCCAGCAGGAAACACACCGAAACTGGCCAACTCTTCAGCCCGAACTCTGAGGTATCCACGTCTGCATGTGGATGATCCACGGATGCGGCTCCCCGCAGATAGAACCGGAATATCTACAGATTTACAAGGTTCTGGATACAAAATTTGCATCCAAATCCGCCTCAATATCCGCAAAAACGAATTGTGGGGATTTGTGGGGCTGGAGCCATTTTAAAGAAGCAAAACTCACGTCCCCATTGGACGCTGCAGAGCACTTCATGCTTAATAGAGACGTAGCAGGAAAACCAAAGTAGGGGTGTGACGGGGCAGACTAGGCCTCCTGCCACACTTTCCGCAGAGGGACTATAGAGAAGTCCTCCAAGCAGGCTAGAGTGGCACCAGAGGAAGCAGCCAATCAGGGGCCAAGGAGGCCCTATAAAAGGAGTTGGAGAATAGACCAGTCAGTTCCTCTTCAGACCTGGTGGTGTGCAGGCTGGGTGACTGGCTGTCTGGCAGTGCACCAGTGCCACACAGCGCTCTGTGGGGGGAGTTTCCTGGTGCCCACTGAGCTGTGTGGGGACTCTCGGGTAACGCCCTGAGGGAAGGGTGCAGACGGTGTTTCCAGGAGTGGACGCCCGGGGGCACCGCTCTCTTCCAAGGGGGGGAGACTGAAGAAGGCCACCGCCAAAGGCACCTAGATGGGCCCCTGCCGAAGGGGAACCCCGGCGGGGGGGTTGATTTGCACACAGGCTGGGGCCTTATTCGGAGAAACTGGAGAAAGGTCCGGCACACGCAAGGGGACAGAGGGGGAGTCTGTGACAAGTGAGTGAGTTACCAGAGGAAAAGTCTGCAGGTGGCAGCAGCACCAAATAGACCCGACCGTGTGGAATGGGAGAAATTTACCTGAGCGGGTCCATCTATCCAACGACCAAATGCAGAGCTGACGGCTGCCCCCGGAGACTTTTTATCATCATACGTGGAGCAGGAGACCTGTCAGGACACCGCACCGGCGACTCCTGAGAGCCGCGGCCACGGGTGTGACTGTCGGCCACAGGCCGTGCTGCTGAAGACAAGGCCGGTTAGAAATGTCTCACGACAGAGCCGCCAAAAGGGGCGTGGGAAACCTGACAGGGCCGGACGCCAACCCTGGGTGGGAATTCGCGCCCGTCAGGCTCTTGGTCTGAGAACACAGCAGGGGCTGGTGGCCCACGGAGACACCAGCAGCCTCCCTGCTTCCCACCCCACACCTGGGTAGCTGGGGAGGTGCCAGGTGGGATGTCAGACACTACAGCTCAAAACACCCAGGCTAAGAAAGGGGGAATCCTCTCCTGTCATGTGCTGTACAGGGGCTAGGAGACACAGAGGAGTGTGGCTGATTCTAGGAGGGCAATGGGATACACACACACACACAAACTCACACAAAGAGCCGGTCTCTCTCGGAGTTAACGAGACGCTCAGCTCCCCGCATCCGGCCCTCGGCCCCGGCCTCTCGCTGCAGCCATCTCACAGGTGCAGACCACAAAACTTTCCACCGCCCCTTGGGGCTGACGCTATCGGAGGAGGCTGAGCTGAGCTGAGCTGGCCCCGCCGAGCTGCCCAGAGAGCAGGGACCATGGAGCAGCTGCCAGCCCTGAGCCCCGTCCTCTGCATCCTCCTCCCCCTCCCCATCTGGGCAGCAGGTAATAATTGAATCCATCCACCCAGCCGCCTCCCTCACCCCCAGCTCCATCTCTGTCCTTCTGTCCATTCGCCCCACCCCTACATTTATCTTTGTCTGCCCATCTGTCTCTCTGCCCATCCCTAGCTCCATCTCTGTCCATCTGTCCTTCTACTCCACCCCCAGCTCCATCTTGCTCTGTTTATTTGTCACCCGCAGTTTCCCCGCTGGCTGGTTTCTCCCATTTGGCCTTGATTGACGGGTTGATTGGATGAGATTTTCTGTCTGATACTTTCCCCCTTTCCTCCTGGCTCCCAACGTTCTCTTGGCTGTTTTGACGGTCGCGGCCCTTGGAGTAGATCTTCTCAGAGCAGGGTCCACAAAGACCTGGTGATCCCTTGGCTGACGGGTGACAGCTAATTTACACCCGTCATTTCGCGTGTGTCCTTGGAGGTCTGTTCTCCAACCTGCCCGACTTTACGTTGATCAGCACCCCTGAGTGTCGCCTGCCCTGTGGAGCGAGATCCCCTCATGCCTCTTGGCCAGCAGTGTCACACAGATCTATGCTGAGTGATTGTGTGCCCAGCATCTCTGTGGGCATCCGTCATGCATGCTCCAGGCAGTTGTTGGGCGCGTGTGGAGGCGGGAGCCCAGGGCTGTGAGCAGTCGCACGTTGGGAAGGAACGCCAGGCCGCTCAGGGGTCGGGTGGCTGGGGCATCTCCATCCCTCTCGTCCTCATTTTCCTTTGCAGGTACAACATTCACTGCCCTGCCTTCCAAAGGTCTGAAAGTGCATCAGAGCCCCCGCGCCCTCCAGGCATCCCCCGGTGACACCGCCACACTGAACTGCTCCTTCCAGAACCCACAGGGCAGCACGGCCAAAGCGACCTGGACCAGAGGGCTGGGAGACATGGTTATGCTGGATTCAGCCCACCCCTTCTACACAGGGCGGCTCAACGTGTCCTGCCTGGATCTGCTCCGGAACCCGACTTTACGTTGATCAGCACCCCTGAGTGTCGCCTGCCCTGTGGAGCGAGATCCCCTCATGCCTCTTGGCCAGCAGTGTCACACAGATCTATGCTGAGTGATTGTGTGCCCAGCATCTCTGTGGGCATCCGTCATGCATGCTCCAGGCACTTGTTGGGTGCGTGTGGAGGCGGGAGCCCAGGGCTGTGAGCAGTCGCACGTTGGGAAGGAACGCCAGGCCGCTCAGGGGTCGGGTGGCTGGGGCATCTCCATCCCTCTCGTCCTCATTTTCCTTTGCAGGTACAACATTCACTGCCCTGCCTTCCAAAGGTCTGAAAGTGCATCAGAGCCCCCGCGCCCTCCAGGCATCCCCCGGTGACACCGCCACACTGAACTGCTCCTTCCAGAACCCACAGGGCAGCACGGCCAAAGCGACCTGGACCAGAGGGCTGGGAGACATGGTCGTGGGGCTGGGAGACATGGTTATGCTGGATTCAGCCCACCCCTTCTACACAGGGCGGCTCAACGTGTCCCGCCTGGATCTGCTCCGGAAAGGGGAGGCCACGATGACCCTGCGGGACCTGGAGCCGCGGGACTCTGGCCTCTATCGGTGCCACATCAGCATCCTCCGGGGAGACAGCGGGACGGGACAGGGCACCAAGCTTAGCGTGACGGGGAGGAACCAGAGTGACCCAGGTGAGGGGGATGGGGCAGGGGGCTTTTCCCCTCTAGTGGGCGCCGATCCGGTTCCAGGGCAGGGAGGGGCTGGCTCAGGGGGGAGAATCTCCTAACCCTCCTCTCCATCCCCCAGATAAAGGACTCACTCCTGCGGGATGTGGCGCCCAGGAGGTCCTGTGTCCGGCCGCTATCGCCCTGGGACTGCTCTTCATCCTCATCCTGGTGGTCGCCCTCCTCCTGAAGAGATGCCGAGGTACCAACACGGCGTCTTAGAGAACACAGCCAAGTGGCCATCCGGGGTGGTCCTGGCTGGGCTGTCTGCCCACCCCTCCCTCTCTGCTCCTTTCCCCAACCTCCCTCCATCTCCTTCCCCATCTGTAAATCTCTGCAGCTTCTCTCCTCACCCTGGACCCCTTCACGCATGCACACGCCTGTTTTAACCTTCCTTTCCTCTCCCTCCCTCCACAGCGCTGCCCTGCTCACAGCCGTGCCGGCGGGCGCACCCGGGGGGATCCTCGGCC